AGGAATAATGAGACATGGATGCTGGCTGAAGTGGCAGCAGGCTATGTTGGCTTTCCAGTTGCTATGCGATGCCTGGTCCACCAGCTCAGGGTAGGTCCATGCACCTCTGTGCAAGCTGCTGCCTGCTGAGGCTGGCTACCCCACTGTGCTGCTGCTGCTCCTCATCCTCTAGTGAACAAAATCCTCATGGGTGCAGTGCCAGACCTTAGCATTAGGCTCTTTCAGTTCCAGCAGCACCACTTGGTCTGCTTTTACAGCATCTCCTTTCCTTCCTGCTCTCTTATTGCTGCCATCAGGTTAAAAGCCAAATGTTGCACCCTCCCTAAACCCTATCTTTTCCCGCAGAGCATCAGGATAGTACTGTCAGCTACCACCAGCTCTCTTCTGAGAGCTGCTGCCTGCTCCCACCTCTAGCTAACTCCCCCATCAGAGTACCTTATGGGGTTACAGCTTGTATGTTTTCCCTCTGAATAATATTCCCTGCTCTGCACTTTGTCTGGAGAAGGACAAACAGAGCCTGTGGAGGATGCGTTTGGTAACTGGAACAGAGAGACTATATTAGCTCTACCTTTGCAATGTAAAAACATATCTGGTTTAGGATGATTGGACACAATTTGTCCCTTGGGATTTATAGCCTAGGCAGGTTAAGTGAGAGCCGTGCACATTAAATGCAGACTTTGAGGTAGGCCGTTGCATCTTTCCCAAAATGATGTTACCCTACGGTCAGATTTTGTTTGTTTTTAATACTCTGTAAATTTAATACAGGGGCTTTGATGCATGTTTTTCAGCTTGAAAGCAAAACTGTCTTCCTTTGTCCAGCACTTTACAATTTTAATGCTTTTAGCAGGCAGCTCCAAGACACAAAACCGGGCTCAGGAAGCTGCACAGCTAACAAGAATATCTGGAGCGGTTATAGGAAAGATTTAAAAGAACACCCAAGAGGCCAGGAGGGGACAGAAGCCTTTTGGCCAGGGCATACATCAGTCTTTGACTGAGGACAGGAACAAAGCTGCACCATGGCAGGTTGTTCTTCAAGGGCTCAGTGGTGTTTATGCACCTTCAGAGGAAAAGTCTGGTATCAAATCAGCGTCAGAGAGAGGTTGCTGGCCCTGGTGTGTACTGCTGGAGCGGGATTGCCTCCCTCCCTAACTAGCTGAGCCTCTTCTTGCACCAGCTTTGAGCTTGCATAAAGCCTTTGAAGAGTTACTTCTGGGTTATAGCGGTGGGGACGAGGGAAAAGCCCTTTTGCACGTCCAACAGAACTTTCTGCTGCTGCACTTACTCTAGTTTTTGTTTGTTTGCTTGTCTAAATTTTTACTGTGCTTTTGATCTGAGCCCAGGAATTGAAACCATCGCTGGGAATGTGCTGCTAGAGAGAATTATGAAACAAAACGCAACCGCAACACTTTAAATGTTGTTTTAAGTGGTGTCTAGACCTCATGCTGGCTTTATGCACCAAGATGAATTTCACAAAGAGAATAACTCTCCTCCTTGCCCCCTCCCTTCCCCCCATTTATATTAAAAGTCAATTCCCTATATTCTCACTCAACTCCTGTCCTTCTGTATAAAGAGGAATAATAGGGCTTCTGCTTTCTTATTTTCATTTGCCATTTGTAAAAGGCTCGTGTTTAATGGAAGAGGAGGGAACACTAAAAAGGAAGCATGAACATGTATAGGGCTTTTGAGTTATTAGATTCATTAAAAAAAGCCACAAAATGGTAGCAGTGGAAAAGGCCGAAGTCAAGCATCAATCTTTGCATATTCTATGGCATTGCTCTGGAGTCTGAGGAAAGATGCGCTGACCCTTGAAGAAGCTGGCTCATGCTCTTGTGAGCACGCTGCTGTTGGTTGATGATAGCAAGTATTTCTAGAACTACTGGCTGCGTTAAATTTGCATAATAGATAGTTTTGGTTTTATTTTAGCTAAGGAATTTTCTCTCTTTACTCACAGCTGTGGTGATTTGTTTCTTCTGGTGTTAATAACTAGATCTGCTGTTAGTTTATCTGACACCGTAATAATCCACACACACTGGACACACATAGGTAAGACTGAGCACAGAATATTCATTAGTGTTGGAGGATGGAGAAGAGTTATCAGCCAGGATGGGCTTGAAATGCTTTCTGGTGTTGTGCACAGGGGCAGAAAAATGCCCAAGGGAAATATTTTTTCTCTGGAAATTCCCATTCAGGTTAAAAGGACAAAATAACGTTTCCACTGTTTATTTTGGCAACCAAAACTACTTGAGCGTTACAGAGAACAACACTTAGTAATAATCCCAAATAAATCATTGAGATTATGGTCATTTAGGTTATTCTTTTCTTTCTTTTATAGTAGACATCACAGCTACAACAGGGCAACTCTTGTGCCTGGAGCTGCTCATTAATACAGGAAAAAATACTGAGAAGAGCTTATTATCTAAACAGGCAACACATAGTGAAAGATGGGAAGTTACTAGCCACACTCTTCAGGTGGGAATAAAGAAATATTGAGAGTAAATAATTCGTTCAAGGCAGCATAGATGGCTATGCAGAACCCACCCCGTCCACCACAGTTCTGATCCATTTGTTTTCATCTATTCATCCACAATTTAAAAAGAGTTGCTGGTTCTTACCTACTTTTTCCTATATAATTATTATTTGAAGGCACCTGTACTGTCATAGAGAAGTGCTTCATATCTGATGAGCAAGCCGTCATCACTAGGATGGGCTTGGAGATGTAGGGATTGGGTTCATTCCCAAAAAAAGGAATGTCTGCACCCACATTCTACACCACCTTTGCTGTACACAACAGTACACTTAATGTTGGGCATTGCATCCTTGAAAGGCTTGGACGTATCCTGATGAACAAGGAAAGCAAGAAGGTATATATTGGCTCACAACTAATAAGACTCAAAATGGCTCCAAAGATTCTTTTCAGTTTCTTGAAGCTCTCTTCTGGCAACACGTTTCTATGTATATGGAAGAGGAAGGACTTTTACTTACTTAAATTTTAGTCCATCTTCTGAAATCAGCAGAAATTGCAAGCAGCTTTGCTGTTCCACAGGGTCTGACATGAGGACTTTTTTGCCACAAACGCAGGGGCAGAATGAAATGGATCCACAAAACATTCTCACTGGTCAAAATTCTTCTGGGTAAAAAGAGGGAACAGCAATCTTATTGCTTGTGTCTAATCATGTAGATTTATGTGACACAAAAAGGTACGAGCTTTGTGTTGCCTCTCTGCACATGGTGAGATTTCACTTAGCAGCTTGAGAAGGTAAATTAAGTGTTAAACAGCACCCAGGATAAGAGGGCAAGATGACTATGTGCCGTGTAACACTTTTTACATATCATGAGCTGTGCACAAGGGCATATCTAAATAAAATGCATAGGAAATAGCATCACACAAATATGATCTACATTTTTTTTTTCCTGATCAAAGAGGCTGAGGGGAAAAAATAATTAAAAAGTAAAAGCCTTATGCAATGAGATTTAAAAGAAAACTTTGGAGGCTGACAAGACGCATCTGGCACAACTTCAAAGTCCTTCAAAGTACATATAATCAATGTTTGTCAATAGCAGTTTTGCATCCTTTAATTTATCTTTCATGGATATAAAGCATGATGTTATTAGGATCCAGTCCATACCTTAATTCTGTTTGAGATTTGATGAATCAGGGCTCTATTAAAATTCAGTGCAAATCAGCTTACTCAAGGACACGTTACATAAAGTCGTGTGTTATCTAACTCCTTTTATCTTGCTGTCTTTCTAACTCCTTAAAGAATCTGGAATCTCTTATACTTGTATGTGTGGCCACCAACATACTAAATTTCAAACACATTTTGCTTGTAGGCACCTGCTTCAGTTATGCACGTGTGGCATAATTTGTATACTTAAATTCTTTGTGTATTTTGTGATGTATGAAATCCCTTAGGATGTTCAGGCTCCAAAGTGAGGAATTATCAGAAGTGAGGTTCCCTGGCATCCAAATTTCAGCACTTGTTACAGAGTCTGTGCTGAAGTGCTCACATCTATCTTCTTCACATGAATATCGCGGTCTGGATAGGAAACGAGGAAGCCCTTCTGATTTCACTGTTTTCTTCCTCATATTTCACCATGCGGACACCCCGCCCATCCATTTTATTCACTGTACACTATTTAGGTCCTCCTTAGCAGACAACCCTATTCATTTTTCTCCTGGTGGTGTTTAATGTGCTTAGCACTATCCTATTTAACTGTTTTATAACCACAGAGAAAGCATATTGCTAGGGAGTTCCATGTGAATTTGGGCTGTGATGTGAGAACACTGTGTTTCTATCACTCTCCTCCTTCTTCTACTTGGGCTCTAAACTATTTGGGGGAAAGAATGTCTTTTCACTTGTTTTCGTAACATGTAGCACAAACAAGATCTGGTCAGTAAAAGTGTGTCAGCATTTCTGCAATAAAGAGCTGCTTATACTTGCAATAATATTGTGATCTCCTCAACTCCTACTGTTGTTACAAATGCTTCAGCTTCTGGAGACTGGGAGTTACTCAAGAATATCAGCTTTTGCTGAAAAGAGATTCCAGGTTCTCACATCTGTGAACAAATGCTTGAGAGCATGAGCATCAGTATCTGAAATACAGAAAATAATAAAACCCACACTTTTTAAAACCTTATATTTTTTAGCTGGATCTCAATTTTTTTTTTCAGTTAAAGTTAGTCTAATTCATGCTTTTTTCAACTGACAATAATAGTAAAATTTATTCTATTACAAGGAAAATACTTTGGTTTATTGTCAATTTATGCTATTATCATAGAATCATGAAATAGTTAGGGTTGGAAAGGACCTTAAGATCATCTAGTTCCAACCCCCCTGATTTGAAGCACTTACCAGCGGTTAATGCAGTGACTATCTACTCAGGCTGCACTTATTTGATCAGGGTAATCTGTTGAACATTAAACAGTATTTGAAGCACGGTTAATTATTTGCACTGAATTAGCTCACCCTTGAATGGCTGTGGTTTGCCTGAAAGAGACATAGGCGAGAAGAAAAGGCGAGTTTCAAGAAAGAAACGAGCAATAAGGATGGTTAACAGTGCTCTGACCCTTCATGTTCTTCCACTGGTCATTCTCCTGGGGAACACACATTTGTGCGTGAGTATGTTTCTGAATTACTTTTCTTGCTGTATGCCAGCTATGTTTCTTGCTGACCCCGTCCTGGGCAGCTGGAGCATTTGTCTGTGTATTGGTATTGCAGGATACTGGGGTGCCCAAGTAAAGGCTGCACAAGAGAGAAGCCCCATGGTTTTTAGGAGCAGATATCTACATTGACAAGGAATATCCTGTCCAGGTGTGTTCGGTGGACACCCTGCACCCAGGGGTGTGCAGTGGCGAATGCTATTGCTTCCCCAGTCTTGGGCAGTGAAAGATGCTCCAAGCTGCTGGGCTGCTCATCTTCAAGCTGAAGGGACTTGAGATGAGATTAAACAGGTCAGGGTATGTGTTGACTTGGAAGTTTTGCAAGCTATTTTGTCCAAGGTAAAATTTACCACAGCCATAAGTTTTGGATGGTTGAATTATCATTGCTACTGACATGGAAGAAAGGTTAACAGCTAAATACTCAACACAGCTAGAGATGGCCTTTATATGCTTTCCCAAGCCTATTCATCTCTATTTTAGAGAAGACTGAAAGAATGACTTGCAACCAAAACAAAGTTAAAACCCAGTTTTCAAAACATTTCTTTTGTTCTTCCAAGCACTGCAATCAAGTAGGTTTTCCCACAAAGGAATCTGAGGTTCTTTCAAACTCTTCTTTCTTAATGACAGTCTGTATGTGTGCAGGTTTGTATTTGCTGAAATGCAGGGCAAAATTTCAGATGTTGGTATTTTTAAGTTGAGTTCTTTGGGAAAAATGTGTAGTGAGGGGGTTTAAAATGTTATAAGTCTTTTTTTAAGAACTCAGTGAATTTTTGATAAGGGATTTTTCAAAACACAATAGGGTATTTATTAATAATCATTTTACTAATTAATCAGGTCTATCTCTCTGCTGACAGCAGTGGATATGGCACACTTAATCCACCAGTACATATGGCCATTTACTGAGGGGATCAGCCCTAGGTAGTTCAGTGCCAGTTTTACAGACATTGTGGGAACCCAATCTAATATAAATAAGCTCATAATGAGCTGGTTGTGTTAATTCACACTCAGTGAGGAAGATGCAGGTGCAGTCTTAGACAACACAAAGTCTTGCACAGATTTTTCCTAACTATACCTAAGAGTGAGATTGATTCATTAGCTTTGACAATCCTAATCTGACTTTGCTCTAAATATTGCTGTGGAAAATGTAGAGCATATCCCCCCCTCCACCTCACCCCTGAAAATTCATTAACATTGCTAAAATGCAAAAGCAATTCTGCTGTCACTGAAAAGCAGCATGGCAGAATATTCAGCAGGCTAGTTTTTAATAAAACATGGTTTTTCTTCATAATTAATATAACAAGGTTTTCTGGCTTAGCACTTGGAGTGGATCCCAGGAATAAAAAAAAAGAGGGGAATGAGTAGCCATGATGTGACCATTTCATGACAAACATGTTATAAGAGGACGGTTTTGCCTTAATGATCTGTTCCAAAGAAAAAGTTTACTCTGAAATAGTTTGAATGAAAAAAGAACAGATTTGCACTTTGCTGAAACCATGGAAAACACCCTTAAATTCTTATTTCCATCCTTTCCCAGAACTACGCATCTTCATCATTGTCATTTTTATCTGAATCTGGTTTAGGGAGTTCTCATAAGTAACACTGGTTATTAATAAATGTTATTGGAGAAATACAGCACAAGTTGAACATAGACGCAGGTGATAGCTCCTATCAAGTCAGACAAACTAGAACAGGAAAGCACTTGGATGTTCATGGATCTGGCAGGTCTGAAGCAGGACCCTAAGGCAAATCTTTCTGTTTGATTCTTTTGTATTACCTGAAGAGAAACTGATTTCACCTGCATGAATCTGGACTATCTCCATAAAAGACATAAAGCTGCATGATGGGTGCTAATGAGAACAAATTTTGGTCCTATATTTATCATATATGATGCAACTGTGCCAAAGATTGTCTTCAGACATGACAGGTCTTCTCAGGTTGGGTTAGGTTATTTCCTGCTTTTAATTACAATTCTGCTTAGTAAGATACTATGGCAGAAGTGTGCCTACCATAAGGTATTGTATTGTTAAGTGTTCCTTATTTAGCCAAGAAGAAATCCAAAGAGCTCTATTGCAGCAGATTGTGCAATTCAGCTTTGTATCTTTCCTTAATCAGACTTGTATTGAAGCAGCTTTTCTGAAACACACACAGGTTTAAATGGCTTAAAGGTTGTGCAGTTTTGGGCTAGAGAACTCCGCAATGGGACAAGACTGGGCTAAATCCCACAACACTGCTGTGATGGAGCTGTTCAGGTGCGCAGCTGCAGCTCCCATTTAAATATGCTCTAAAGTGCTTCAGCTCATACTTGGAGGAGACAAAAAATCATCTCAGGCTTTTTCCTTGTATCAGAGTTCCCTGCAAACTCAACACCCCGGCAGCAGAGAGGAAGACATGGAGGGGCCACAGTAGCAAAGTGGCTCTTCACTGACTATTTCGGAGCTTGAGAAAGTTGATGTCCACTAAGTTGTGATGAAGAGCATTTTGAAGTCACGAACCAAGACCAGTCCAACAACCAAGCGCACTAAGTAGTGGAAAGGGAAGGGTTAATGTGTCACTTTAATGTCAAACAATCACAAAGAAAACTTACTATCAGTGCCTATCTCCTAACTGGCTCACAGCAGATAGAAAAATTAGCAGTACAGGTCTTTCCTTGCCTCAGCTCCTTGGAGAACAACATTTTAGGGTGCCCCAAAATCTAGTCAATCTGACATCTTTTTCCACCTGCTGATGGCTCTTTTCCCATGAGAAACTCCTACTCCTGCTCCCTTCACCCTCTCTCCAGCACTGCACCAGTCACACGAGGGCTTTATGCTGTGCTGTGTCATAGAGTAATCACTGCAAAGATTAGTGGGTGCTGTCAAGCCTGTCTCGGTTTGTGGCCCATCAGGTGTGATGCCCTTCTGCAGCGCTCGCCTAAATTTGCCTGATGCAGCAGGAAAGCAGCAAAGCCTTGGGAGTGCTCCCAGCTAATTTTGCACCACCCACTCAGAGAGGGAAATGTTCCTTGCTGACCCCTGAAGGCAATCAGCTTATGCCCTGAAGCATGCAGGTTGATATCCCCTGTAACTAAAAGGACTTAATGAGTTTGCATAAGCTTCAGGTCTAGCAGTATAACCTGCATCCCCAGCACTGGCTGCAAAAGCATTTGATAGCGCAGCTCACTTGTTAGTGTGACAAGCTGGCTCCTGCAGCCCCTGTGAAACGGATCTTGTAGCTTCCCTTTGCTGCGGCATCCGAGGCTGACCCCGTTTTCCACCTGGGAGCACAAGCACACCTCATCCACCAGCGAGCAGCTTTAGAAACAGCCAGCTGCTACCAGGCCATCTCTCACAGTGCAAAGATTAGTTTGGAAACTTTGATCTCTTGGAAAACAGGAGCAGGTAACTCCTGTGCAGGGAACCAAGCTGGTTTCAGCAGCACCTCCGAGGGCTCTTGCTTTCTTCCTGGATCCCTGTGGTTTTTGCATTAGGGGTTACCATGGGAAAGGTTCACAACTAAATAATCATCAAAATAAAGACTTTGAATGTAAACCTCTTTGGGTGCCCTGGGACCCGTCTAATGAAAGTGTCACTCACTCTGAGGCACATGTTGCAGTTCAGTGTGGAGGCAGGAGATGTCTTGCTAGCAGAGAGGTGAAGAGCTCAGAGATTCTGGTGGAATCCTTTCAGAGAATGGTTTCCCAGGCTAAAAATACAACATGTGTTGCATGTGTGCTCCAGATGATAATATGTCCCGCTTTCATTATACTGCAACCATGGCCTTGGCTGAGAAATACAATGTCATTGCTGGAAAAGCCACTTTCCCTTGAAGTTCAAAGACTGTCACTACCCAAGATGGTTGCAGGCAAAAATCTGGCCGATTGTAAGAGCATCAGAACTGTCGATTCCCTCCTCCTTTGGCGAGAAGCCCAGACAAAGGTTCCCACTGAGAGCTGTCAGCAGGATCAAGGGGTTCACTGTGAAAAGGCAGTAGTTGTGTCTGCCCTCATGGCTCCTTCATGCCTTATGTCAGTTGCGGATGGAAGTTGATCAAATATCCATCGTCGTCCTCCAGTTCTTCCCCATCCCACCTCCTTCTCGGCTGCAAAGCTGTGGCTGCACAGAAGAGCACATGAAAGGGGTAATATTTGTTTTTCTGCCATGGAGGCCACTTGGTGCTGAGTTGCAGGAGAATTTGCACAGCTTAGTGCAATTAAGAGAATAGGCCAATTCCTACCAATGCTGTTTAATATTTGGACTCCTGTAGTGCTTTGTTGCAGACTGTGGGTATGTGCAGATGCAGTTCTCATCCTTGTTGCTAGCCTGTCATACCAGCTTGAGTAGCTACAAGGTTTTCTCTGGAATTGCTTCTGGTTTGCACATATGTAAATGCACAGCCAAACCCTGGGTTGTTGCCTTTGTGCTGCCTGTTTCTCCACCTGCATTTGTGGTTTAATTATTCATTTTGATTGTAATAAGGGGTAGCGAATGTACCCGAGACACAATAAATAGTTCAACTGCAGAATGCCCTTGGTAGCTGTAAATGATTTCCCTTGGATTTGGGGTCAAATCTTCCTGGATTTATTCAGAAAGAACTAAGTGGACATTTTTGTCTGAGAAAGAGCTGTAGGATTCTGTCCTGAGACCAAGAAAGCTCGTGGTGCTGACATTACCGTTTGAAATCCATTACATTTCATTAGTCTCTCTTTCTTATTGAATTGAAACGGAAAAATGGAGAGTATCATGTATCTGCAGCATTTAACCTTGGAACAAAGCCTAATTAGCAAAGTTTGGATGGTTCTTCAGAGAAGTGAAGTTTTAGTGAAGTGCTAATCATTACGATGATGCCAACAGACAACAAAGGTCAGGTGAAATTAGGGTATTTTGAATTTCAGCCCTTTCTTCCACCATGCTTTTCTAAGAACCCTATAAAGGCAACCAGCTCCACACTCAGCAATGCACTGGTGCCCATATCAAATGTCTCTCTCAGGATTTTTCTCTCTTTTTCTGCAGTTTCTTTTTTTACGAGCCTAAAGTAATAACATTTAAAATCCCTCTCCACAAATTCTTCCATCTTCATCCCCCATCCCTGCGGACCGGCTACATACAGGATCCAGCGAGTTTATTCCCTCTTGAGAGAGCACACAGAGTATCGGTGTCGAACTGCAGCAAGGAGGCTGTTTGGTGAAACCAGCCCTGCAGCCTTAATTCCTTCTCCCAACCCCTTTTGTTTGAATCCTGCTCCTCGTTGGGCTCTGTGCAGCACCTCGTCGGAAGGACAAGATCCTCCTCTGCTGGCCATGAGTAAATACGGCACGGCAGGCAGGATGCCCTGCCTTCACTGCCCCTGCCTGCACCCCTCCTGGACCCCAGCCTCTGCCGCCTCCTTACTGCCTTCTGCATCCCATATCCAGCATCCCCTCATGGCAAGGAGGAAAGGGTGAGCTCAAGCACGGAAGAGAGAAGGAGGTGAGTGCTTGTCCCTCCTCTACTGCACTCCATCATCGAAAGGGAAGCAAAAGGCTAAAATCTGGCCTTGTACTGGGTAGCGGGAGATCAATGCTTCAAAACCAGTGTAGTCTGGTGAGTGGTGCAGTAGAGGCCAGAAGGGAGGGGAGAAGCATCCACACCACAAAGTCAGCTTTGCCTGAGGTTTTGTGTATCTGCTGCTGAAGCATTTGACAGGCTCATAAAGGGGAAAAGCTCCAGGGAGTTGCAGGGACACTGGAGTCTTAGGACAAAGATTGAGCTTAACTCTTGGACTCTCTGCTCCAGGATCTTTTGTTCCCAGAAACATTTGTACTGTGGCAGCAGATGGAGGCTTTCACCCAAAAGCAAGAAGCAAAGTTTGGGGCTCAGCCACCCTAGACTACAAGCCACTGCCTGCTCCCAGGGATGTTACTGGAAACCTGCACATGTCCCAGGCAGCAGTTATTGCATGGGTTTAGGGTATCTGCCCTTCCACAGTCAGCTCTGTCTATGGAGGAGTGCCCGGGTGCTATGAGAGGGGTAGGTGAGTAACCTGGAAAAGAGAGTAGTGTAGCAAAGTGCGAGGTCTCTGATCTTTCTCCTTCCCCTGGTGTGTGAGCAAAGCCTTGGGCATTGTGTGAGTGTCATCTCTGCTCTACAGCTGAGGGAAACTGAGGCAAAGAGGAGCAAGATGCGATCACATCTTTCACCTCACTTAGCCTGGGCTGAAAACCTCTATCATCCCCATGAGGTGCCAAGTGCTGCCCTGAATGTAGGGGCAATCCTGCTGAAGTCAAACCCTTCTGTCCCCAAAACCCCTTTCCAACTCCATCAGGGCACTACAGACAGCTGGCACAGAAAAAATGTTTCTTCTTTCATCCTGCTCCCATTGCTGCTTCCTTGTTCTTAGTTTCATGATTCCTCCAGCAGAAAGGAGCACTGTTGCAAGGGTCTGTTTTGGTCTGTGTATATGGATGAACACTACCACTAATTGTAAATGGAGCAATTAAACCTTTTCTTTATACAGGGTCTGGCAAAGGATCTGACAAACCCTGTTACCTGCACTTAAGAAACATACACCAAGGGCAGAGCTTTTACAGCCTTCTCATTTACCATCATCTCTGCACTCATTCAGGAGGGACAATTGTGTGCGTGTGTCCTCCCAGCTGCAAAGGATTTAGTTATGGATGTGTGTGGTTCACTTAAGTGCACCTGGAAAGGGGCTCTGCTGAGCAGTGCAGGGGACATTGCTCATTAAAGTCAGTGGGAAGGGGAGAGCTGGAGTCTCTGTTCTCCCTGGCTCAAACACAAGAGGGAAACAATCGTGCCTGAAGCAAAATCTCATTTATATATTTCAGGTAATGTTCACAAATGTAAATTCTGAGCTTTTTAGGTCCTGTTTTTTACTCATTGCTTGATTCATTTGTTCTTAGTCATAGTGTTAGCTGAGAATGCCGTTTCTATATACAAATCACAATGAAACAGGGTGTAGATTTACAGTTAATTGTACCTGTGGCAATATGTAGGTGCACATAGTAACTGCATGTGTGTGTGCATGTATGTTGTCTTTATAACATGTGTTCAGTTGTTTGGAAATACATTCTCTTCTGACAAATCATGTGAGAGATGATGAACAGCAGCTCTAATTCTCCTTCTTTACACCTGCTGTTAGCACGTGTATTCTCATCACAGGCAGGTAAGCCTCTCCATAGCTGGGGTTTAGAGCAAGAGGGAAAGCAAGCTGAAATCGTCACACAGGGGTTGCATCCCGGTGTGGAGTCAGTGTGTCTCATTTCAGACAAACCTCACTCACACCCTTCAAAGCCTGAGAGCTGTTTTCCGTCTTCTGTTACCTTTTGTTGCTCGCCCTTGATCATGAGCCCAACAGGAAAGGCTGGAGCTCCACACTGGAGGTCGGGCACATGGCATTTCCTAATGGGAAATGGCAGAGCTGTTCTCGATTCAAACGTTGTTGACAGCCTTCCAGCTCAGAGGTCCAGATCCCACTGGCTGCACCAGCACAGGCTCCCGGGGTTCTGTTGCACTGCCTGACCTCCTCTCTACCCTGTCTGAGCTTTGGCAGCCAGCTGGAGAGTGGCCTGTTGGTATCTCAGACACATTACACAAACAGTGCATGGTCACTTAGTGAGCAAAGAGGCAGCTGAACCCATTCAAGATAGGTTTTCCCCAAAACACAGCAGCCCAGCCACTTGGGCTGGATGCTCAGAAAAGCCAGAGCCCCCATGTGGGTTGTTGGGAGCAGTGGGCACTTGAAAACATTTTGATGATGCTTTGAAAATACAACCCAATTAGCTCCGAAGTGGGTAATGACTCCATCTGGATGCCCAGCACTGGGGCAAACAGAATCTTTGTGCTGTAAACCAAGCATTGTGCTGGCTTTTGTTTTTTTCAGAGACTGATTCTTTGCCCTTTTCTATCTCAAGCAGGTGGCCCATTTATTCTCCCTGGCTGACCTGCTGAACGGTAAGTGGTTTCACTTCATTGTAACTTCTGCATACCAAACTGAGGGACTGGTGACCTGGTCCTTCAAAGAGCCTTTTCTAGTGCCCAGTGCTGAATCTTATTAACTTCAGGCACAGCTTTGCTGAGCTAAAATAAGACCTATGATCAAGTAGAAAGTGTTCTTGTCTTCTGATGAGTAATATGGTGAGTAATATTCAGACCTCTGCATGTGTTCTGTGCTGGTCCAGGGGACAACGCTGCACCGAGTTCCAGGCAGGAGCCCAAACCAGATGTACAGCAGCAGTACCACTTTGCAGCTGATCATGGGGCATTCCTAGGCTGCATAGCTCTGTTCCAAGCCAGGACTTTTACACTGTACATAGAATCATATGATGGTTTGTGTTGGAAAGGGTCTTAACATCATCTATTTCCAACCCCCTGCCACAGCAGGGACAACTCACACTAGACCGTGTCACCCAAGGCTCTGTCCAACCTGACCTTAAACACTGCCAGTAAGGGAGCATTTACATGTCTTTGGGCAACCCATTCCAGTGCCTCACCACCCTCACAGTAAAGAACTTCTTCCTTATATCTGACGTGAACTTCCCCTGTTTAAGATTGAACCCATTACCTCTTGTCCTGTCACTACAGTCCTGTGGCTACATTTGCTCAACATAGCTCTGGGGACACATGATGCATCATGATGCTAGGCTACAAACCTCACATAAGCAAAGAGTCTAGCTGCACATGAGAACTGAAGGCCATATAAATGAAGGCTAACTTTCCCTTGCAGCATACAACAAACTGTGCAACTTATTTCCACAATGTTTTGTGCTAGGTGCAGGAAGGTTCAAAAAGTGTTCACAAGCTCAGGCAAGTAAAAAAACATTAAGGGCTATGCAGCATTAAGATGTTGATAAAGGTAAAGCTGTGATGAATGTTGTGTGTGGATGTGTAGATTGTATCAGGATTTGCACATCCTTTCGCAGACTACTTGTTCCACATAGAAGATTATGGTTTTATTGATAAGTTTAGTATTCTTACAGATAAGTTCTGCTTCTCCTTTTCTTTATTTCAGTGGCTCTTAGATCTGAGTTTATAATTTATAGCTAATAAAGTGTTAATATACTAATTTCCCCTACAAAATTACTTTACATTACATTAATATACTCATTTTCTACTGTTCATTCCAGTGGCGTTCTGGCTTCCAGGTCAAACCTGAAAGGTTCAGAAGCCTTGTAGTTCATATGGCACTGCTGCTTTCCCCAAATCAATGTTGCTCTTCTAAGAGGATGTGTATGGAACATAAATTTCCACATTCTTTGTGCATTCAAACATTTGGCTTCTGCAAGTACCTGGCCACAGAGCTATGCCCTTGGCTTCAGGCTTTACCCACAGGCCTTGTGCAAACTGATTTGCCTTTTGATGATGGAGTACCCCTTTCATGGTTCTTAATTCATTCCCTCCATTATGGTTATTATAACTTTCATTATAAGGCTTTATGGTTCTTACCTCTGTCTCTCCACTGCCCCTGCCCTCTTCATTCCCCATCCTTCTGCAAGTCCCCACTCTTTCAGCATCATCATCCACCTTCACCCAGCTCCCGACCTTCCAAAGAAAAGGTGCTGCAAAACCGCTTTTAAGTAGCAGCCATAAAACTATGTGAAAGGCTTTGTTGTTAACTGGTCTCTCTTTCACAACTTCTTTCTGGAGCTACAGATACTCCCAGCTATAGCCTCTATGGAAGAGAGGAAATACATGAGGTCTTGTCTCTGTAAAAGTAAACGGGGGACATCTCGTTATTTAAAATACAGTCAGGATTTCAGCCCCATAAAAATAACACTACATTATTCTCAGAGATGGAGACAAAAAGTATTTAGATAGGTGGCAGGAAAACTCATCCTGCTTAAATTAGGCCACATTTCAGTCAATCCCCAGAGGTTCAGAGAGCTTGAATAAATGCCGGGTACTTTCTGGCGCTCTTGATGTGTGTTGGCAATAGGTTTTAACTTTGCACATCACTCATCTTGACATCTGCAGTCCAACAAAGTTACCTCGCAATTCAGGTCACTCGATGGCATCCTAATGCATCACTTTCTCACTCGGAACATTAGTCATGACTTGATCCAGAGAGGGTTTTGAAAACAGTGTGACTGCTGGCGTTGGGATATCTGTTCTTTCTGAAACAGAGAGCCCATGTAAGCTAATGAACAAGGGGATATTGATCAGAAATCCATTGCTTGATTGACAGCTCTTGGCAATGTGAAAAACTGCAGATGAAAGCTTGAGCAGTTTAAAAGATCACCCAGACCTCAAAGCTGATTTGAAGCTTTAAAAGTCAATCTCTGCCTATCAATTATGGGGGGATTTTTTTGTACTACACAGAGGAAAGCTATTCTTTGAAAATTTGCATGCAGGATGTCTAATTTAATTTCGTGTAATAGTCACATTTCAGTGACAAATGTCAGATCACTGCTTTTTTAAAGTATGTTAAGGTTTTCCAGCACTTACAAAGAGTGAACACTCTGGTTTAGTAGTATGTTTAAATCAACCAGTGTATCAGACTTTGTGCATTAATTATGTGCTCAGATACAAAAAAGTGTTGTTTTTCCTTTACTAAACCTATAGTTTGTTATGAATAATTAAAAAAAATGGAATGGGAGCACTTCTTAAATAAGAAATGTAGAAGCCAAATAGTTATTTAGTGCCGAAGCAATGATAAATAAGAAGACATCTTTTAGTTTGATGTCATGTACCCAAGTCAGGGTTTTCTGTTCTTTGTTTTTCACTGCTTCACGCAGCTGGGGAGGACACAGAGTAGCTGGGAGATGGGAAACATCACTCATGTGACCCATAGAAGCACTTTCTGGTTCACTGTTTCATAAGAAGGGATGAGGGAAGTAGGGACATTCTCAGAGTGGCAGCATGCTCTCATCACGTTGGCTGGTCTGATGACCAGACAGCTCAGCTTCCTGACTCCCACTGTTCATATGGGAAAACCAGGGTACCCACAAGAGTTTGCAGATGTTTTTCAAGCCCTTTCTGCATGCACCTTTAACTGCACGGCCTGGCCATAACATTTCTTGCAATGGTAACTGCCAGCCCATGAGGGGGCTGTTAGACAACCCAAAGTGCCCTCCTTAAGAGCTGACAGGTTCCAAACTGGCCTCAGATGTGCATTGGTCTGTTCCATAACTGTCTGGGGGTCATCTCCCTGTCAGTGTGAATAGGGTTTTGTGCTCCTCCACCTTGCAGAGCTGTCAGAAGCAGGCATCCTTTGCAAACTTGGGGTTTGCCATTGAGATGTATTTAAAATAGTCCATAATGGGCCAACAAGTGATTTCATAGGTGTTGGTAATAACTGATTAATTATTAGCATTAAAAGAGTGCCAAGATATGACGCCAGTGCAACAAACTGAAGTGACAGTATTCTCATTTCTTAACACCATATTTACACTGAAGAGTTGGTTTAAAAACCATGGTAGATGCTTCTACAGTGGCTTGGCTATTTGAGCTCATTTGGAACACTTGTTTTTCCTGCGTCAACTCCAGAGAGTCCTCACCAGCCTCTGTAAATCATGCTGGGTATGTTTGCAGTCTGCTTCTGGCAGCCGTAACTCCCCTGTTCATCCTTCACAACTATTAGCAGGTATATATTCCTATTAAAAGGGCTCCCCCACCCCTCAGAACACTTCTTTAAAGCATCTGTGGAATAAAAGCCAACCTTTCCCCACTGAGATTTTGAAAACAAACAGGGAAACAGAATCAGCCTCCTTCAGACAACCCCCTCAAACTCCAGTCCGCTCGCACAGTCTCCCCTCCGACGCAGCGAGCTCGCAGGCTGCATTCCAGGCAAAACCCTCTTTTTGTTTTCCTTTCTCAACCACCTCACATTAAATTTAATTTTGTTCACTGCAGACGATGTCCTTATCTTCCAGCGAGATCCTTCTGTTCCTCAGCAAGGCACACACTTCTGCAACACTTGCACATTGTCGAGACTCGGCTCCTGTGGAAATAATGAGCTGAGGAAAAGGAGTCTTGACTTAACATAGCAATAAATGAGGTGAAACTTTCCTCTTTTTTTTTTTTTTTTGGTGAGAGTTGGCATGTAGGAAAAAAAGGAGGAAAAAAAAAAAAGACGGTTCTATTTTAATATGAAGTATAAAACATCCATTGTGCAAAAGTGGAATTTCTTTCTTTTTTTTTTCTCAGAAGCAAAGAAAGAATAAAGATAAAGGCTGCAAGCGAATGAATGAGGAGAGAAAACTAAGATAATGCAGTTGATAATCAGTTCAAGGCAGAGCATTATCCATGGGGCCATCGGTCCGGCCCTAGGGGAGAGCTTTTTAAAATGCCTCTGTACGGAGCTTAGCTTTGCTCATTACCATAGCTTGTCTTTGAAACACCAGCGTGGCTTCCCCTGGCAGAAGCCCTACCTGTGCAAGGAGCTGCCAGCCCACTTTAATCATCCAATCCCCCCCAAACATATGCTGGCAAAGCAGTGTGTCCCACTGGTGCCAGGCTCCCAAGAAGATGCTGGCTATCAGCTCAGCTGAGGCAAGGATGGGTTTCTTAGCATAGGTCTGCTGTGCCAGGCCCTCGCTTCTCAGAAGGGGCTTTGTGTATAGGGAGCTACACAGGTGTGCTGGTGCCTTGGGCCCTCAATCCCTTCCAATTTCCCTCAAAATGGGTTTCTGTGTCCCCACACGCAGCAGGTACCTGCATGTCGGTGAGGGTCTTGCCTTGTGCTGCAGCAGTGGTCATGCTGACGGTGATCAAAGTAGTTGGACAAGGGAAATCCCTTCTTCTTGTAGGAATATAAATCCCCTTTTCTCACGGTGCTTGTAGCAGCATCTCCCCTGGCTGTGAGAGCAGAGCTGGGGCCAGCAGTGCTCAGTGATGGCCATGCTGGGCGCTGAATGAGCTCTGCCCATACCAAGGAACAGCTGAACAGCATCTTTGGTACTCAAGATGATGCAAGCTCTGGACCCACTAACATCCCAGATGAGCCAAAGGAGAAAAGGGCTGTGTCCATCCCAGGAAATGACCTCTTTCATACCTTCTTTCCTTCTAGCAGTCCTAATTCCTCTGTTCTCCCACTCTCATCTCACCCTATCCTGCAGATGAGGCTGATGACTATGAGTACGACGATGAGTACCTTGAACTGGAGCAGGACCTCTTTAACCAGCAGCAGCATTCAGAGGACCCTGACTGGTTTGAGGCATATTTTGGCTACAGCGATGCTAGAAAAGGTACCTCTGAGGGGTGGGCAGGGAGCGGTGCAATCCCAGCCCTGTGCTTGCAGTGGGAGTGTGGCAGGCCTCGGCTGCCAGCCTGCTCTCGAAATGCCTGCATCAAAGGGATGAGTTAGGAGGATCGTTTGCTGTGTTCTCCTTTGTATTTCTCTTGTAAGGAGCCTGTGTTTTATCTCTGGGTTTCACAGGATGGATTCTGATCATGCAGAACATTTCTGATTGCTACTACAAAAAAAAGCACAGGCTTATTTGTCTATAGACACTGTAAGATGTAATTGCTGTTTTCATGGGATGTATGTTCTGTATTTATGATGAGAACCAAATGTAGAGCAGGTTTCTTTCTTTTTTTCTTTCATTTTTTTTTTCCTTCTCTCAGTTGCAGTCTTTTCTCTTTTCTTTTTCTCTTTTGCCAAACTTCAGGAGAGCAGGGAAGCATCCTTGAGATTCCTCAGGGAACACAACAGAGAAGTTGCTTGTAACATACCCTGGGTTATCCCCTGGTACAAAGAGAGCAGAGCTGGTACGTGGCTTGTCCCCAGTGCAAATTGCTCCTGACAGCCTGAAATGGAGAGGTTGCACAGTTCTAAGGAGTAGCACTCAAGAGCCTCTTGTAAGGCGCCTGCTCCCTTGAAGCAGCAGCCACCAGGGCTATTATAGAGCATCATGGTGGTGAATGGCTTTTCTAGGGAAGATTCAGTGCTGCCTTACAAACGCACAATGACAAACCCAGATACCTCCACAACAAGTGCATGAAAAGAGATGCTCAGGCACAGCTCTGGCTCTTCAGGCATCTGTTTCTTCTGCTGCCATAGAGGCAAATCCATTCCTGGGCAAAGGCAAGGACTTGCCCCATTACAGCTCCATCACAGACGTAGAGAAGGGAGTTGGGGACATCCCGACCCAAAGCTGTGAGCTGTTACAACTTGCAGTAAGCTCTGCAGCAGTCCATAGCTGTTCCTGTGGTTGCAGAGGTGATGCATAAGCACAGTGTCTGTTACACAGTCTGCTGTGCCTAGGAAGGCAGCCTTCTGAGGTTAGAAAACGCAACAGAAATCAGGTGATGGAGGTGGAGCAGCTGGAAGTAAAACTAAAAGGTCTCCATCCTTCCCCCAGCAGATCCATGCTCCTCCAATCCCTGCAAGAACAACGGTAGGTGTGAAAAAAGAGGGAGCAGCTTCAGCTGCCTCTGCCCCAAGCCATATGCTGGGAACACGTGTGAGAGAGGTAAGTGCTCCTTTGCTAACTTACACTCCTGATTTTGGAACCTGATGTTACTGTTACAGCTCTGCCAATGGGAGCAAACACAAGGCTTTATAAACCCACTGTTTCCTGGGCTGAGACTTTTGACAGCCCACCCCAGTCATGCTTATAGGTCTCACGCTTAGCTCCCTGTCTAGACCTAGGTCTGTCTAAAGCAGTATCCAGATTTTAGGTGCGCAGAAAGCATTCTATCTCCTAACAGGTAGTCAATGAGGAGCTGCTTGTTAGTCATAGTATCATAGAATGGTTTTGGTTGGAAAGGACCATAAAATCATCCAATTCCAACCCCCTGCCATGGGCAGGGACACCTCACACTAAACCATATCACCCAAGGCTCTGTCCAACCTGGCCTTGAACACTGCCAGGGATGGAGCATTTACCACTTCTTCGGGCCTCCAGATTCATTGCCATTGATACTGAGAGCATGAAGGGAAATCCCAAGCCCACATGGGCCAAGCTCTTGTGCACACACAATTGCTGATGAAGCACCTCATGTCTCTGTTTTCCACAGTGGAGGACGTGTGTCTGGAGAAGAGGTGCCATAGAGGAGACTGCCTGCTTACATTAACTCCACCTTATTTTAAGTGCAGTTGCAATCATCCCTACAAGAAACCTGACTGCCAACGAGGTGGGCACTCAGCCCAATCTGAGTGGATTGTGGTGGGGACAGCACGGGGAGGTCACCCCATCACTACTTGTCTGTGGTAGGAAATCACACACAACCCACTGCATAGTGTGGTCCTGCCCTCGTCATCCAGCCTGAGTCTGCTACAGGTCCCATCCTTGGGCTGGTCAGTGATGAGTGATGCTTGATGCACAGTGGGTGGTTCTGTCATTGGTAACCTGCCTGGTGATAACTGTTCTTCAGGAGTTCACAAGAACTCAAAGCCAACAGGCTAAGTGGGAGCTCTCCCCGCTTTCCATCAGGCATGTGAGTGGCTGTATGGTGCTCAGCACAGTGACACGGCTGTTCTGTCTCTTCCCCACTGACAGCATCTTCACCGTGCAGGCCAAACCCTTGCAAAAACGGAGGTGTCTGCGTTCGGCACAGGATCAGATCGAGGTTCACCTGCGAGTGCCCGGCACCTTTCAGAGGGAGGTTCTGCGAGGTCGGTACGTCAGAGCACCAGGGTACAGTGTAGGGGTGAAGCCTTTGGACAGACCCTAAGCCAAAGTAACTGATGCCATCACTGACTACATACAGGCACCCACCTCCTTGGGGAGATAGCTGGAGCAAGAGGCTGGCTTCTGCAGTCACCACTGGCAGAGGGAATCAAAGCAGTTCCAGTACTGATGTGTGCTTCAGCAAGGTCCCACTGGTGTATGATGAGTGAGCACATGTTTCCCAGAGGTGGCATATGTCCTATGCGGAAGGAATATCAGGCTTTCCTTAAACAATCAAAAGGCGATGTAGTGAAGATTCATTCCCAGTTGTCTGACTCCCCATCCTGAGGAGACAGGCACTAATACACGGATGGGTTGCCAAAGGCATCCCAGCCTCCATGAAGAGCCTTTTGCCTCTGTACCATGGACACCACAGCCCACACGTTTCCAAGAAGGAGGATTTGTTTTTTCTCTTTTAAAAGTTGATTGTGCTTCAAACTCCACATCACAGGTGACTTTTACCTCTACCTCACTTACAGGTCATGGTCACAACCCAACAATCTTCTTTTTGGCACATAGAATCATAGAATAGTTAGGGTTGAAAAGGACCTTAAGATCATCCAGTTCCAACCCTCTGCCTCTTTCCAGCCTGCCCTTGAACACCACCAAGGATGGAGCATTTACAACTTCCTTGGACAACCCATTCTACTGCCTCACCACCCTCACAGTAAAGAACTTCCTCCTTATAGCCAATCTAAACTTCCCCTGTTTAAGTTTTAACCCATTACCCCTTGTACTGTCACTACAGTCCCTAATGAAGAGTCCCTCCCCAGCATCCCTATAAGCCCCCTTCAGATACTGGAAGGCTGCTATGAGGTCTCCACGCAGCCTTCTCTTCTCCAGGCTGAACAGCCCCAACTTTCTCAGCCTATCTTCATACAGGAGGTGCTCCAGTCCCCTGATCATCCTCGTGGCCCTTTTCTGGACTTTTTCCAACAGTTCCATGCCCTTTTTATGTTGAGGCCACCAGAACTGCACACAATACTCCAGGTTAGGCCTCATGAGAGCAGAGTAGAGGGGCAGGATCACCTCCTTCGACCTGCTGGTCACGCTCCTTTTGATGCAGCCCAGGATACGGTTGGCTTTCTGGGCTGCAAGCGCACACTGCAGCCAGCTCATGTTCATTTTCTCATCGACCAACACCTTCAAGTCCTTCTCCTTGGGCTGCTCTGAATCTCTTCTCTGCCCAAACTGTAGCTGTGCCTGGGATTGCTCTGACCCAGTTGTAGGACCTTGTACTTGGCATGGTTAAACTTCATGAGGTTGGCATCAGCCCACCTTACAAGTGTGTCAAGGTCCCTCTGGATGGCATTCCTTCCCTCCAGCATATCAACCAAGCGTATCCACTGCCCTAGCATGTTAGCAGCTCTGTTCCCACTTCTGTCTAACCTTGCTGTGATACCATTTCTTAACAGGCCACTGGCAAAGAGATTCTGCTTTGCCATTAAGACACCTCTTAGCTGTTAGGTCTTTACCATGCAAAAACATTTCAATCATTTGAAGTCAATCAAGCTTCAAGCTGGACAGATATGGGACATTAGCCTGATTTCTGGCTTATGTAGGTTAAAAGGTACCATTACATGACCCAGCAGGTCCTTCTCCTCTATGAAATGAATGTAGAGCAAGGAAGGGAACAAAGAGGGACTTCTTTGGGCAAGGAGCAACATGAAAGCAATTTTAACATGGGCATTGTCTTCCTACAGGACTGGATGACTGTTATGAAGAGAACTCCTTTAATTACAGAGGAAGAGTGAACCAAGCAGCGAATGGCAAGACGTGTCTGCACTGGAATTCCTACCTTCTCTTGGACCACCCTATTAATGCCTTTATGGAGGATGCTGACTTTTATGGCATTGGTGAACATAACTTCTGCAGGTAATATTTTGAAGAAGCAACCTTAGAGGTCTGTATCAAAGAAAGCATTGTCATGGTTTAATCCCAGCCAGCAACTCAACCCCACAGCGCTGCTCACTCACTCCCCCTCCCCCCCAACAGCATAAGGGGGAGAATCAGAAGAGTAAAACTGAGAAAACTCATGGGTTGAGGTAAAGACAGCTTAATAGGAAAAGTAAAAGCCGTGCACACAAGCAGAGCAAAACAAGGAATTCATTCACCACTTCCCATGGGCAGGCAGGTGATCAGCCATCTCCAGGACAGCAGGGCTCCATCACATGGAACAGTTACTTGGGAAGACAAACACCATCACTCCCAATGTCCCTCTTTTCCTCTTCCACCCGGTTAACATGCTGAACACGTTGACTCTCTGTGTAAGCACTGCTCAGCATGAAACCGTCCCTGTGGCATCAACTCTGTTTTAGCACAAATCCAAAGCACAGCCCTGTACCAGGTTCTATGGGGAAAATGAAACTCTATCTCAGCCAAAACCAGCACAGGCACTGAGGATGAACAGGTCATGAATTTGGCAAACTGATAGTGTTATGATCCCACATCTTTTAAGACAACACCAGTCTACAAAACACCAGGACGTGACAGGTGCCTTCCCTAAGTCACTGATGCAAGGTTTCCAGAAGCAGCCCTCATTCCCCATTTTTCTTAGGGTTAAGATAGGTCTAGGGACAGTAAAATGGCAAAAGCCTCGCTCTCTTACCTCAAGCATCTTCTTTGTCAAATCTTAAGAAAGAGTACCTTTGGAAGTCTGGTTCTCATATGGGAATATGAGGCTGCTCCCTTGAGCATTCTCAGCTCCTTCCCTGGTTTCATGGAGATTTCCCAATTCCTGCTGGCTGATGGTCTGAACTGTTCCCTTCAGGAATCCCGATGAGGATGAAAAACCCTGGTGCTACATCAGAAAACATCACAAGGTGGAATGGGACTTCTGTGACGTTTCACCCTGCTCAGGAACAGGTAAGGAATTACAAGTGAGCTGTTTGCAGCAGTGCACATGACCCAGAGCAGCAGGTGACTCCCTGTTACTTAACTCCTCCAGTCGATGTTCTCTGCATTATGTATCTACTGTCTCTTTCAACACAGCTGAAGAAAGCCTACAATTAATAGACAGCCCAGTAGACCCAAATGAAATGTTCAAGACATGTGGACAACCAGAAATTCCAAGGATGCTTCAGAGGATCTATGGTGGGACTAAGACTACAACTGGCAAACATCCCTGGATAGCATCTCTGCAGAGGAAGTCTTCACCTAGGGGTGAACATTTCTGTGGTGGAGTGCTGATCAAAGCATGCTGGGTTCTTACTGCTGGGCACTGCGTTGAGTAAGTGCATGTCATGTGCCTAGGGTAGATAAATGTATAAAAATCAGGATGGTTATTAAAGTCAGTTTGGAATTCAATTTATTTGCAATCCAAATGATTGCTAGGAATCAAATAGAAAGGAAAATTTATATGTGAATAAATGAGCACATAGCTGAAAGTAGATGTATCTACTTGAAAATGGTGCTTGCTAGAATAACAAATTAAACTTATCCCCCACTCAACTAGAATGAGCTAAAATAGTTGTGTGAGAGGGAAAAAGGAGGAAAGTAACCAGGTTTCACAAGGTATAAAAGAAAGCCTCTATGAAAACTTCAGGAGATATTAGGATACCATAAACAACATCACATATTGCATCATAATTAAGATCTCTGGAACAGCCTAAATATGCATTTTGCTTTCAATTGTCTAGGTGCCAGCTACCTTAGAATATGAAATATCCTTCAATATTTTTGTTGAATAGGTTGGAAGCCACTACACTGGAAACTGGTAAATCACACTTTGGAGCTCGTTCCAGCACAGATGATTTTTAAGTATGTCCAAACTGCATATATGCAATAGTACTCTCCTGGCTATATGAGCAGGCACTCATCATCACAGCCACAGTCATACATGTGTGCCCACTGCTACTCTACCCTAAAATGCAAAGGAAACATCATGCAGCTTTAAATCACTTTGTTTCATGATTGCAACGTGTTAAGAGCACATGCATTGTCCAACACCATCACTTCCCTGACTAAGCCCTCCTATAACAATCTTGGGAAATCTATCCATGCTCTACAACAGGAAGGAATATCTTGACTTGCAGCTACTAGAGTGCAGGTTTTCACCACCACTGATAGACCATGACTGAATGTGATTTATTTTCTATTTCAGGCAATCAGCAAAATATCTCCAAGTAGCACTTGGAAAACAGAACCTCAAGAAGAGAGAGCCTCAAGAGCAAATATTTGATGTGGAGAAGATCATCAAACATTACAACTACAGAATTAAGAATGACATCCCACACAATGATATTGGTAAATCCCTTTTATTGAATAAGCACCTCTAATTTCAGTGGTTCCAACTAATGTCAATGTGAAATTCCCATTGAGCCTGTATCCTGCAGATAATTAGGCCAAACTGTGGCTTAGACCCATTTGAATTTTTGGGATGTGACTCTTGATGGGCAGGCAGAAGTGGGAGGAGCAAAACAACAGGGGTAGGTCCAGCATGGAGTGTAAATAGCACCATCAGGTACATGCAGCTTTGCCTGGGGTTGTGTCACAGCCTGGTATGATGGTTTGGGATTAAAATTAGCTCCAAATAAATAAAAGTTGTTGTTTCTCTTCTCTCCAGCACTACTTAAGCTGAAGCCAGTTGATGGTCACTGTGCAGTGGAAACAAAGTATGTGAAAACAGTGTGTCTGCCTTACGTCCGCTTTCCCGATGGGACTGACTGCTTCGTTTCAGGATGGGGCGCCACAGAGAAAGGTATCTGTGGTCTCTTCCATAGCAAGACAGGCTGGTTCTTGGCAGTAGCAATTGCCAGACCCAAATGTGGACCTAGACACTTAGTGAAACCAAGACATGGAATTCATGTCTTAGGACATGATGAATTAGATGAATTCATTCATCTTAGGGTGGCTAAACCCTGCCATGGAAATCACTCATTAGCAGAAATCTCCAACTGCTAAGACCAACCAAACCTTTCAGAGCTCTGCAAAAATCCCTCACACAGTGTTTTTTGCTTGCTACCTGACACGCCATGTCATGGTTTCATCTGAAGCCAGCAATAGAAGCAAGAAGGTACCAAGAGAGAGGCTATTGTATGTAGAGTTTGTGTGTTTCAAGACAGGACTAAGAAAGATGGGAACTTTCATACAGTTTTCCAGCCCATTGGGTCAGCAAAAGCTTTTCAGAAGCAGCATCTGGATCTTCAGATGTGCTGAAAAATAAGGAAGAAAAAAAAAATCCAAAGCTTTTCAAGTTCAACCAGCTCTGTCCCAAACCTTTCCTGCCCGTGGTAAATCCTAAGGGGAGAAATTACTATGCTTAAAGTAAAAGATAATGGCAATTTTCTGAAAAATGCATTTTCTCATGTTCTGATTGATGTGTTGCTGTAAAGTAGCAGAAGGAAAATGTGTCACTGAGGCTGCAGTAGGTGTCCTAGTGCTTTGTGACTGATACAGCCCGTTACGGTACATAGGACCAAATTCTCCCTTCTGATGTAGCTCTCATTGAAGTCCACAAGAGACAAGCGTGTTCATTTGATCAGAATGCACCAACAGAATTTAATGGACACGTTTTAAAAGTTCCAAATAAAAAAGGTACAGGGAATTTTATTTTTCTCTTTCCCCAACAAAGAGTCTCAGGTACCCTGTATGTGTTCAAACTAGATGGCTCCTTCTTTGAGCAGAGCTATTATTAGCATTGCAGGAAATCACTGCAGAAATGGAATATTTCCCGAAACTCAAGCAGAACCAAACTTATAAACCACCCTTAATTATCTACAGATGTAGTGCTTTGAAATCCTGGCTATTGCCTTTAGATGTCAAGTTATGTCTTTAGATTCAGTGTAATTAATCATCGCCCTTAAATATTGCATGATTTCCAGTTTTCATCTGTTTCATTAGCTCACGAGTTAAAACATCTAATGGCAGCAGGCTGAAAAGTGCTGAGCCGCTCGCAGTCCCGCTCTGGGACCCGTGGGAGCTGCAGACAACCATCACCTCTGATATGCAGGATTACATTGGTAGAGCTGATGGGAGCTGAATTCTGAATACCTGACCCTAATTCTACTCAGGCAGCAACTTGGTGTCCTGAGCAAAGCTTCCAGACTCCAACTCTAACCCGTACCATTTCAGACAGATAGGTCTTTCCTTCCCAGGCTAGCACATGCTTCCTCCCCTGCTCCTCCCCCCTTCCCATCACAATGGCAAGCAAGCTCGTGTTTTAAACAAAGACAACATATAACAAGATTGGGAGGAAGGTGACTCCATTTTTTTTGGTGCACATCCATAGATGACTTATCCCATCAGCTGTTAGATGTCAACGTCAAGCTGATTTCGCAGAGGAAATGCAATGCACCCAGAGCATATGATCAGAGACTGGATGAAAGCATGTTTTGTGCAGGAAACTTTCAGAGACCCGGAGCTGATTCTTGTCAGGTCTGTTGCTTTTTCTATATTTGAACATTAATTTTTTGTGTAAATAGTCAGGCTGTGCACAGTAATAGCTTTGGCAGGGTGCTGCATATGCATCTGTTTCTCCCATCAGCGTATTTCAACAGCCATCGTCTTTTCTTCAGTACAGTTTGAGATGTAAATCCCTAGAGCTAATGTTGTCACTGTCAGCCACAGGCAGATCTATGGAAGTTAGAGACTAGACTGGAAAGTTTGGCTTTGAAGGCAGCTTGTCATAACCTGAAAACTTGCCTTTTTTCCTCTCTGTTTTATTATGGCCTCTGCCATGAGCACCAGCTCTAATCTGATTTTCACTATCACGGCTAAGACTTGCAAGGAAAGTCAGGATTGGTATTTCGTCTCATTACAGTCAGTGTAAACTTGAAGCAAGTTCACATTTATACTGCTTAAAGATAGGGAAGAGTTTGAACAATGCTTCCTAAAGTACAAACTACCGCTGCAAGCATACTTTGCAACTGAAATCACCAATTAAACAATGAGACCAACCAGCTCAGAATAAAGTTATGTTGAGGGGTGTGGGAGAGATAAGTTTTTTTATTTAGGCCATTTGTCTTTCTGAGCTCAGGCTCTTGAATGCCTTGTACTTTCATGCCTAGGAAATTTCATGTGACCTTGTCAGATGTATGTCACAGACTTGAACAAACAAGAACTTACACCCAAAAAGTCTGGCATCATTTGACCTGGTTCCAGAACTGCAAGCCTACTCAGGCACTGAGCAGCATCTGGTGGTACATCTGATAGGGAAAAAGCATCATTGAAGATTCAAAGTGTTATGATGAGAGAGGAATATTCTTATTTTGGTTAACATCTTCCTTCAGGTTTTGAACATGTGTGTTTCTTCCCATCAGGGAGACTCCGGAGGCCCACTAACTTGTGTAGAAGATGGCTTCTACTATGTATATGGCCTTGTGAGCTGGGGTGAGGGCTGTGGGTTAAAAAACAAGCCAGGAGTTTATACCCAGGTGACAACATTTCTCAGCTGGATTAAATCCACAATACAAACTGAGTCCAGGTCACTCCATTAGGAGACAGCTTCGGAATGACAAATGGTAAGCTTGAGACATTTACTTATTTTCACTGTTTCCCCAAACATCTCCTCTTTGACCAAAAATGTTATTGATATTTTCTCATGGCCTACGTGGGGCATCCGTCAGCACCATCTTGAAAGCAGCCTTAGAGCGTTTGCTAGAATGTCAGTGGCAGTTTTTCTGTTGGGGGCTTTGAAATAAGCCCATGTTTCATAGCAAAACAGAGCAGAAAGTAAAGCAACTCCAGTTCCTCCCCAAATCAATCAGAGCTGCAGTTGCCAGTGTTTCCAGTTCCGCTTTTTAAGCCTTGAAAAGGCTGCAGGCTCAGCTGCTGCCAGACATTCTTTTTTCCCCTCATATCCCTCCTGTCTAAGGCATGCTTTTTCTGCACTCATTGGACCCCAACACCTCAAAGCTATTGGTGTGTGATCAATACTAAAGCCAGTTCAATACTCAAGCCAGTACCATTTTTTACATGCTTTAAAATCATCTTGTGCCTATGTCTGCAAGACTGCAGCCATTGGAATTATCTGAGGACGGAGCATTAGGCAGGAGAATTATTTTTATATGCATTTCTGTAGGGCAAAAAACCACAAATTCCATCAGTGATTTATTCCAGATTGAAAAGAAAAATAAAAAATCAATATGAGGATTACCCACTTTATTCCTGATTAGAGGATCATTACTTAATATGCTACAGATCTACAGTGGTATGTGTGTGCCTAACTTCAAATACAGCGAGACCTAGAGGGTACTAAATCCCATTTAAAGATATGGTTGTAAAGCTATTGGATAATTCTTGGGCTTTCATAAGTTTTGCAAGTCAAACAGTGTCATTTTTGCCCAATGATTCTGCACAGAAATTTGAAAATCAGGGGGTTAGTATTAAGTCTATTAACCTGATACAGTTGAAGATGTCCCTGCTCATTGCAGGTTGGGTTTGGATGAGGTGAACTTTGAAGGTCCCTTCCACCCCAAACCATTCTATGATTCTATGATTCTAAATCAGGATATAAAGACTAGATGCATTTGTGAAGAGTCCTTTTCATCTGAATTCCAGGGTTTACAACCTGCCCATAGCAGCTCCCTAATTTATCAATAGTTACCCCTATGGTGAGAATTTCTAACAAATTCATTCTGATTTTTTGCTTTGGAAGATTTGAAAAAGACTTGAAGAACTAATTGTGACCTGAATGCATCCTGTTAATCAAGACCAAATTCTCTGATGTCCACAAAGGCCTGCCCTTGGTTAGTCAATGATCACTTTGCTTTCACTGGCCCTTCTCTTGTCTATCTGTTAAGCCACCTGAATCATGCTCTTGTATTCTCTTAGGTCAATGGTGCTAATAAACCAGGAACAAAAAAACCTCAAATTACTACAAGTATGGAATGAGGTTCATCTGATTTATTCATTACAAAGTATTTTATATTCTACCAATCAGGTTAATCCATCTGTAGTACAAAGCTGAGCCTGCCAGTCACCTAGTATTAGTTTCATTTACAGCTTCAAATAAATATCAGGTTCTGTAATACATACAGTGATAAATCACTGAGTAGCCACACAAAAATAAAATGCTCAGTTATGAATTGCAATGTTCACGTTGCTTTTTAAAACAAGAAGTTTTTAAACACCATTTATTGTGCTTCCCAGAAAACCAGTAAAACTATAGGATTTGCAGGACAAGATAAAAATCTATTTGTGTTATGTCATGTTTCTGTTTACTTCTGATACAGCTGCATTCTTCTTCTCTTGAATTGCAGAATTTCTGAAGCATCAGGGTTGACTGTGGCCTGCTGAGATCCTTCTGTCCCCAGCTGGTCCTGTAAAATGAAACCCAAGTGAATTGTGAGGACAGCCAGTCGACAGCAAAAAGATTTAGCTATTATTCCATTAAAATATTTGTGTATTAAAAATTACCATAACTGGCAAACAAATGAGCAAAATCCAAATCACTGCTCTGCACTGAGCAAGCCTCTACAGCAGAGAAGTGCACAAAACAGAGGAGTTCATGGAAGTTAAATACTACACAACTCACAGGACTGAATGTGTTCAAGTCTTAATTTCTCGTTTGAGCCCTAAACCAAGCAAACACCTGAGCTCCTGGTGGATTGCAGACCTGTAGTTTTCCCTGGGATGATCAGATCATTATCATACCTGGGGCTTAAGAAGATACTGCCTGCAGTCCCCATTGCTTGCATTAGTCAGTCATAGCAGTAACCTATTTCCTGCGTAACTTTTCAGATGGGAATGTAAATCATGTTTCTCTTGGCCTGGATTACTGTTTGACTTGTTGCCAAAGTTAAAACTTACATGAAATGAGTATTTACAGTGCTGATATTCTCTTCTATTGTTACTTAATCTTTCCTAACTGCAGGGGCTACAGGGTCCTTGTATGGACTTCAGCTCTCTTGTGCTGGAATGCTGGTTATGGGGAGTTATCCCTGTGGAGGTAGGAGAAGGAAAACCTGGAAGATGATGGCTTGTAATTTCTTGCATCTTGAGCTGGACAGATATGGAGGAGGCTGGAGTATTCCTCCTTTGCAGAGAGCCTCCCACAGATATACAGCCATACAGCACACATTATACTCTCAGGAGTCTACACTGAGCCTGTCCATACAGCTGCCAGTGGAGATTACATGTCAACACACAAAGCAATACATGGTGCCTTGCTGAGATTAGGAAAAGAGAAGGAGAATTTTACAGGAAGTCCCTTCCACCTCTACTTCTGCTTTCTGTGGAGGTACCAGGACACTTACAGAGCTGACATTTACAAGTTAGAGGGAACATATAGAATCATAGAATAGTTAGGGTTGGAAAGGACCTTAAGATCATCAAGTTCCAACCCCCTGCCATGGGCAGGGACACCTCGCTCTAAACTATATCACCCAAGGCCTCGTCCAACCTGGCCTTGAACACTGCCAGGGATGGAGCATTCACAACCTCCCTGGGCAACCCATTCTAGTGCCTCACCACCCTCACAGTAAAGAATTTCCTCCTTATATTCAATCTAAACTTCCCCTGTTTAAGTTTTAACCCATTACCCCTTGTCCTGTCACTACAGTCCCTAATGAAGAGTCCCTCCCCAGCATCCCTATAGGCCCCCTTCAGATACTGGAAGGCTGCTATGAGGTTTTCACGCAGCCTTCTCTTCTCCAGGCTGAACAGCCCGAACTTTCTCAGCCTGTCTTTATATGGGAGGTGCTCCAGTAGTCCCCTGATCATCCTTGTGGCCTCCTCTGGACTTGTTCGAACAGTTCCATGTCCTGTTTATGTTGAGGACACCAGAACTGTACACAACATTCCAAGTGAGGTCTCAAGAGAGCAGAATAAAGGGGCAGGATCACCTCCTTCGACCTGCTGGTCATGCTCCTTTTGATGCAGCCCAGGATACAGTTGGCTTTCTGGGCTGCAAGCGCACACTGCAGCCGGCTCATGTTCATTTTCTCATCGACCAGCACCCCCAAGTCCTTCTCCCCAGGGCTGCTCTGAATCTCTTCTCTGCCCAGCCTGTAGCTGTGTCTGGGATTGCTATATCCCATAGTATAAGTAAATCCTATCCGTGGAACTTCCTAGAATTACAGGAGTTCCTCAGCCATGAAAGTACTGAATTCCCTTGAGAGGTTCCTTCAAATTAAGGTGTACACAAAGCCACAAAGCTTTGTGTGGGAAATATACATATTCTGTTGAAATAATATGGAGAACTGTAGACTCCGGGAAGCATTCAGAAGGATTCAAGAGGCTCTGTGCCTGCCTGCTATCTGGAGAGCAGAGCTGTTGGGATTTGTGAGAAAAACAGTTTACTCTACTTACAACTCCATATCCATACTGGGCAGAAGAACCCTGCAATGCCATTTCCCGAAGGTATGCCAACTCGGCAGCTCTTCTTGCCATTTCGACTTTGTGAGAACCTGGGGGAGTCCAGCCAATGCCTCTGAGCCAGTTCAAGTCAGATTTGTATTTTACCTGAGAGAATGAAACACGCACCAGTGCGTATTATTTTCTTTGGCTTTGATCAAACCACACACTGTGTATTCAAGAGAGAGTATATAAAGAGTCTCCAATAAATAGAATATTCATTTTCAGCAGACTGTAGTTCTTTCAAGAATGTGATTTTGTTGATAGGTAAGGTCTGCAAAGCACATTACCACAGACAGCTCTTAACACTTGGTTAACACTCATTCAGCTATACTTACATCACTCTGCAGCTTGTAGGCCTGCTTTGCATGCTTCACATTTAGCTGCTCAGGGTCACAAGTGTATTGGTGAAAAGGCTGCTTGTAGTTAACATTGCTTGCAAGCTGCTGGCTTCTCATAGCATGGAGGAATCCTGGCTGGTTGAGGTGACTCTGGAACTGTGTCATGTTTTGCGCATATCCACTCCTGTATTGGTTGTCACTCTGGAGTTTCCCCACTCTGAGGACATGCCTGATTTTGAGATCATCATTTGCACTGAGGAATCCAATCCGCTGGCCTCTGTCTCTCAGGAAGGCTTCTCTGTATTTGTACTGCAGGAAGTGCAGAGAAAAAAATCTCATTTTCACATTCAGAATGCCTTCATATTCTGTAATGAAATAACTTACCCTCCCCTAGTTCCTACAGTGCCCAAAGATCAAGGGTTGGTTTGCTAACAAACTACATCTCCTAATCTAACAAGACACTTTGGAAGAACACCCTTTGTGATAATCTTTAAAGATTTAGGGACCCCAAAATACTCATCTCTGAAAAGCAACAAGAGGTCTTCTTACTGTTGCACTCTCGGGTGCACTCAATACACAGCTCAAGCAACAGCTCCTTCATCTTCAAGCTCTTTTGCCAGCTGTGGTCTTCTGTGTTCAAAGGTGACCCACTTTTTCCAGACCATGCTTTATTCATAGCCTAGTACCTGTTTTATTTAACTACATCATAATATGCCTCCTTCTTAAGAATAACTCTTCGAAGTGAAACAGAGCAGCTTGGTATTGGACATTATTAATGGGAGCCTTTAGCTGGAAATCATTGCACATAACTGGCATTTGGATTCACTGGATCACCAATTTTCCAAACCAGAACAAGGTTCACTTACATCAGAACTCACTCCTTTTTACAGAGTGGGGGTGGCATGGGAAGAGGGTTGGGAAGTGTTTAAAACGGAACGATGCTTACATCACTAGCAATCTCTCTTGAAGCCTTTGCTGTCTGGAATGGGATGGCGTCAATCCTAAAATCATAGCCAGATGCCCTTGTCTGTTCCCAAGATGTTTTATACAATTTCTGTGTTGAAAAGAAAGAAACAAAAGAGTCATTTCCCCCTGCAGTTTCCTAAATGCAGTCCCATAGCTGCAATAATAAATGTTTTATCCTACTGGGCTTATTTGTATCAAGAGTCATCAGTATTATCTCCAAGGTTTTGATCCAGTTCTATAGCACTTCAAATTCTTCTCTATTCACCATAATGATAAAATGCCTCATCTGAAAAGTGCCACCAGGGTTTCCTTTTGTACTTGAATGGGGTTGTTTTTGATGTGATTTAATTTCTATTAGAATCTGTGATGCATCAGTCACATCAATATTGCATTGATATTGCCCTTATTCTCTCTTTTGATGGTTCCACTTGCAGTGTCTTGGGTTTCATGGCATCATAATTTCAATACCAGTTATTTCAAGCTTTTCAAATGATCCCTGTCTCTATCCCCAGCCACATGTGGCTTCATTAACTCATATGGAGTAACAGCCAGTTCTAACATATTTAATGTGACTTTGAGGATGTGAAATACATTTACATCTTGAAGAGAATTTGCTCTAGATTTCGTTCTTCTTCTATCAGTAGCTTTCTTAAAATAGCTTCCAGGTTGCAGGTCCTGCTACACAGCCATAATACCTCAACTGACACTACTGGCTGTCACTTTCTGACTTTATTCATTTGCTTTCAGTGTTTGAGTCACCCTCTCTGAAGTTTGTGACCACATGAAAACAAGTGCAAAATCCACTTCACATTTTAAAAGATATTCTTCTGTTTCACTCATGAATTTAGTGCTAGGTGGTGGTAAATTTGAAAGTAAACTGAGATGCCAGAAATCCTGCAAGTCAGCCTGGGCAGGAGCAATGCAAGCATTACTGCACACCCTGCTAACAGGTCTAGAGCTGACCTTTGTGTGCACACTTTTACCTTCTTCTCTACCACTTCAAAGAATGTGAATCCTACTTGTTTCTTTCACCTATAGAGCACATATCACCAAACTAGGAACTCAAAGCTTCTTATCACTGTGACCCTGCAGTTAAAGACAAAAGTATTTAATCTGGGAACAGTAGATTAGGAATAGATCGAGTGCCTCTGTCTGGAATAACATGGAAACAAAATCCCTTTAAACCAATTCCACTCACTGATTCAGTTGCATTCAGGTTGATGACAAGTGTGCCTAAAGGATCAGTTCAACACAGTGTTGTACAGGTAGATTATAGAGTCAAGGAAAGAGGATTCTCTCTTCTCCCCCATCCTAACATACGTAAAGAGATTTAAATTTGTAACTAAGCAGACCTATACTGAAGGACTGAAATCCTTAATAATAGTTTCCTGCCCTGTAAAGTAGAACTAGCTCTCAAAATAAACATCAGCAAATTTCCTGATCTTTCCAGCCCAAACCTAGCAACATGTTGGCTGTCCACAGTCTCTGGCTTTTCCAGTTTTTGTCAGGCTCAGAGAACCTGGCTTCTACATATACATGGAAGTTTTGATTCCCTAGCAAGTGTACCAGGTGAACTCCATGATGTAAAAGGCTTACTTACATCACTGAGGTGAAGGGCATTCCGGCGGGCTCGGATAAAATCTGGATGGTCAGGAGGCAGGGTGTACCTGTGCCTAGCTTCAGAGTCTCCAGCCTTGTATAGTCTCTGTGGAGTCAAAAGTCATTGAATGCAACTGATACTGGAGGTAATGTTGAGATCAATTCTTTTATGCACTATAGTACAACAAAAGTTAAGATCACTTATAGTAAAATGAAACCTACATCACTGCACTGGAGGTAGCTGTTTTTAGCATGAATCAAATCTGGAGAGTCAACCACAGCAGTGAACTTCAAACTTTCTGGCTTCTGACGGTACTTTATCTGAGAGGGAGAGGAGGCAACAAGAGCAAACAAAGAAAAAATAAAACACAGGATGTTTCTGTTAATGATATATCACAATTCCAAGCATGTGATAACTGGAGTAACACATAAAAGTCACCTTCCTTAAGCCACAGTATTAAAAACATATTGTTCTGCTATAGTCTCAGTTGCTCTTTCAGCTAGGGAATGGGCATACCACCATATCCTTAGTGTGGTGCCCAGGCACTAAACTTCCTTTTGTGTGTGTGCAAGA